TGTAGGGATGTGTTCTGATCAGAACAAATTCTTGACCCATCCAGATGCAAAGAAAGGGCTAGGTGATGGGAGAATGAGGAGAAGAGTCTTTTGGATGCACGTGCAGTCTAGCTAGTCACTCCCTTGGGGAACTCGCCTTGTCCTGCTTCTTGCTTGTCATTTACAAGTTGGTCTTAACTTTGCCGGACCCCCTTCTCCCTCACAGGCTCTGACTGCTGGGACTCGCGGGGACAGCCTGCAGCTCACGTCAGGGAGGGCTGAGGAGCAGGGGCGTTGCTGTGGCCTGCCAGGGCAGGTCGGCAGGCTGCTCTCTCCAGCGCTGGTGGGGAACGTCACCACTGTGTCAGTCGGGAATCCATGTTCCTCCTGTGTGCGTGCCTATGCTCACATGGCAACCCGGGTGCAGCGCATAATTTTAGGAGAAAATACTCCTGCCTGATGCACAGCGCAGCTCTTTGTTTCACGCTCTGTTCTCATTGTCATACTGAATTGTCACCTGTCTCAGTGGAAATCCTGTATATAGAATTGGCAAAGAATAGAAACCCGTCCTTTTCAGTTGCCGCAACAGATATCACTGACAATGTTTTCACATTCAGTTAAGATGCATATTAAGCAGCAAGAGTCCAAGCTATCTTTGTCAGAAAACGGCTATGCTTCTACAATTACCTGAAAAACATTTTGCTTACTGAAAAAAGAACTGGGAATAGCTCTTTTCCTAACTTACTAGGAAAAAAGCTCCGAGTTCTCATCTCCATCACACAGAAGAAACTGAAGTTTACTGCCCTGCAAATGCTATTTGATGAACTATTTCAAAGCACCACTGCCACTGCTGTCTTGTCAAAAGTTCTAACTTCCTCCATGTGTAATCTATTTTAGGAATAGCTGGTACTGAGATAATAACAGCTTTGAAAGACTATCAAAATTGAGTTAATAAATCAAAATAAGCTGCTTATATATTACAAACGCAAATAAGAATAATCTTGTTTTTCAATTATATTGGTACGTGTTCTAAAAAGCTCACTTTAATGAGGATTTTTTTGAGTTGCCAGCCCAGCACCTACTCTCTCGCTGCCCCGTCGCTATCCGTGCCCATACAGCCCATGCAGTTACTGCGCCTGCAAGTCTCTTCCTCAGCGTCACCGCTTGTCAAAGTCCCTGCCAACAGCCCGGCGCTGAGGAACCCTCCTGAAGTTCCGTGCCAGCAAATGTACCTGAGACGGGAAATGGTTCCACACATTATTGGTAAAGAAATAACACTCTGAAGCTTCCATAAAGTCCATAAATATGCAAAAAGGAAAGTGCTTGAAAATCACATCCAAGACACTTTGGCTGCCCTTTGTCTGTGGATACCGTCATGGTTTTAAGTACAAATTCTCTGAATTGTGAAATTCTGTCCTAACCCCAACCAATCTGGAGGTTAGCAAAACACTTACTCACCGAGTCTGAAATATTTTAGTATTTAAAATTAATTGGTTCGCAATACTACATGTGCTGCAAGAGCTACACAGAATGGGATTAGTTTCCACGCAGTTTCCCAAGATTCAAGTCATCTCTCCAGTCTCTCCAACAGCAGTTTGTGCTGCCGTAATCTCTGCTCTGTCACTGTCTGCCACTGAGGATTGGGGTTTTTTTTCCCTAGAAGGCATAAATTGGCACCAGATAATGGTTTGGCTCCAGCCCCCCACGCCGGTGGTTAACTGCTGCACTGGCAATGGCACTTCTTCACTGGTGGCTATTTCCAAATGGGCCACGAAGAACAGGCGCCCCTCGCCCCCACCGCAGGGCACGGCTCCGCGTACACGCAGCACCCGCGCGGCAGGGAACGCGCAAAAATACGCTGTACAAATGACAAATAGCGGTCAAAGTAAAAACATGCATGTTCTTTATTGACATTTCCAGCCTCTTCCTTACTGCCCGCGACCCTCTGCCGGAGGAAGGGGTGCCGGCGTGTCCCTGCTGTCGCTCCTGCGGAACGGGGGGCAATTCCTTCCCAGCTGGCAGCCCCCTGCTAGGGCCCCCACAGCTGAGAAATCTTTCAAAACCTTTGTTTGCCATTGGACGTCAATAAACGCATCACAAATAATAGCAATAATCATCATAGTCTATGAAAAACGCCAGCGATTGGTGCTCCCTCTATCTTCTGAGGGAGTAAAATTCTCCATCCCAATACAAAAGAGAACCCTTGCAAAAATCAAGATTTTATTTTAATTCATCTTTTAGGTTGGACTGGGGAGGGGGGGTGGCAGAAGCTGACAGGCCATCAGAAATTAAACCCCGTATTGGCAGATTTTATTGCAGCGTCCCGGCGCGCCGCCCCCCCC